TATAAAAAGAAAAAAAATTTTTTATTTTTAAAAAATTTTTTTTTTTTTTTTTTGTGTTGGGAAGAAACAGCTCATTTTAAGATAAGGTAGTAGGACTACAAGTAGAACATAAATAAGTTCATGATTCGACAGATATAATGAACTAATTATACGACGTACAGTTTGAGCATGCATCAATTGGCGTATAGACTGACACTTGGGACACACCATTTTATCAATATGAGATGACTCACACACCACCTCCATGTAAATTCATCAGGATCATTTGTTTTCATTGGAAACACAAATTCCTAATATTAGTAATTTATTACTAATCGATGATGATGACCCTAATATATGAGCAAAGTCAAAAGTTGATTCAAAGAAATGACAAAAAATTATATAATACGATATGAAATCTATGTTTGAAACCAAAGTTTGGACTTTGATTGGGCCACCCAATTGATGGGATTAAAATAAGTTTACAAGGAATCAACATGGATGGTAATGTTCATACTTACAAAGTAAGACTGGCTACAACCAATTACAAGGATTTGATTTTGACAGTAGCTATATTCAGATTTTGCTAGTTGTAGCTGCACAATAGAATATATGTGTGCAGTCTACTTTATGGATTGAACTAAGTCCCTAGGAGTTGAAATACACGTTTTGATGAGAATATCAAAATGTTTGATTTTTATCAAAATAATGTTGAATCATTTGTGTATAAAAGGTTATAAGTGCGAGCATATTAGTATTTTTGGTACTATATGTTGGTGACAATTATTGGTTAAATGATGGATCTTGGAAGGATATCATGTGTTCATGCAAAATCCTACAAGCGTTAGAGATCATTGACAAGTAATAATTTTAATGAGATAGAGTATCGTCTCACAGGGAATAAATTTCAATTCGAGTTTACTAGTTACGTAAAATATTTGAATTGCGTGTAAAAAAAAAAAAAAAGGATTCTGATTTGATTTATGTTAAATTAATCTCTGAAACCTATAGAAGTGTGGTTTTTATCAATTTATGAATGATTGTGTTGAAATTCGAATCTGCATATTGCTATCTATTTCAATTCTCAATTATATATTTTAATCATAGTCATGCATTCTTAACATTTGATAAAACTAATATTTGTAACTTTCTTTTCCAAGATAAATTAACTCTATTCTAATTATGACCTGAGTCTATTCGTAACCCTAATTTGAATGATTAGAGTGCATTAAATTCCATATTATTAATATAATTAAACATGTGATAAATGTTATTTCCAACATCTATTGTACATATAATAATTTTATCCCGTTCTAAACTTATGATTATCTAATTGGAGATTAAGCAATTACATAATGCAATGGGTATGTAAAATTCATCGAGAACCAGAACTAAACTAAATCAATAGTCTTGAATTAAAATAAATAAAATAATAAGGTTCATCTTCATCAAACACAAAATGGTCTCGCCTAGCATGATTTAAAATAAATTATAAGAAGAATAATGAAAAATTATGGCCCGAATTATGAAATCGTGAAAAAAAAAAAAAAATCTTGCCCTTCCATCCCAAGGTTGAATTCTTCAAAATCTTAATATAATTGGCTTCAATTCTTGGCAAGGGATTGGTCTTCTCTTCTAAAAGTAATGAATTATCCTCTTATTCTTGATAAATTTGATGATATTATTGTGTATGAAGACGCAAGAGAGAGTTCTACAGTGTTTAGCACATGCTTTGTACTTATAGGAGATGTAATTAGGTCAAAAAATACGTCCGATTTGAGTTCCAAAAGAGATTCAATCATAGAAGGATAGTTGGCCCGTCAGTTGAAAATTTGTCCCCACTTCGTATGAATTGGTGCGGCCACACCATAGAATTGAAATGCTCTCTCATCGATTTTGATCGCGACGACTTATTTCTTGTGCATTTAGTTCGCTTGTTTTTCTCTCTGAGCAGCTTTCAGTATTTTGGTCGTAATTTTCTCTCTTGATATTCAATTAGAGTGATTCAAACTGCGTTGAAAAGATAATCCAAGAGGATATAATTCTTCTAGAAGTAGAAATTTCCCAATTCAAACGTTTACTACCTGAAATAAACGAGTCTCAATCTGAGACTAAAAATTCGAAGCACAACTTTTTTGGGTGAAAATTTATTTGTGAAAATCCTTTGACTATATTTCACTTATTTGACCTCCAATTGCATCCAATTGATCATATTTGATCTTCAATAATCATTTTTATGTTCGGAATCAACTATTGAATGTTTACATTTTGGTTCCCAAACTTTGAATTTCTTTCGTTTTTTACCTATTTTTTTTTTCTTCTAATCCCACCAAGTTGCCTCGCATTTTACCTAACAAATAAAATTAATAACCAATTAAGTCATAAGTTATCAAAATTAATTACAATTGTTCTAGTGTCTAAAATAAATTTATCAACATTTATTCTGGGAAACATATATAATCCAAGTATGATTTGATCCCAAATATCCTGTGATTAATCTCTCCAAAGACATATTTAGAACACAAATTGAGATTGTGTCCTTCACGATAAACTAAGTTTGAAAGATAGTGGCAAACATATGGATTGGCCTTTAAGGCTCAAAATAGCAATTGGGGTTGCAAAAGGATTTACATGGCTACACCACAACTGCAATCCTTGTATTAGCAACCGAAACACAAGTTCCAACATCAACTTACTGGATGTCAATTAAGAATCGAAAATATCAAATGATGGACTAGTTAGTCTCATTAATCCCATTGGAGCTCATTTGAGTATTTTGTACATGGTGAATTGAGGGAGATGGACTATGTTGCTCTAGAATATATAAGAACTTTGCAGCTACTCTAAAAGGGGATGTCTATAGTTTTGTGATCGTGCTTCTCGAGTTAGTAACAAGCGAGAGATCGACCAATTTGGCTAAAGCCCCAAAGAGAATTAATAAAAGATTTGTAGATTGGATTTTTCGGCTCTCTAGAGCCTATGTACTTCTAGATTCAAATTTTCGGTCCTTTGTTGGAAAGGGTTATGATGGTGAGCTTTCTGGATTTCTTAATATTGCTTGTAGCTGTGTGCTGACTGATCCCACCATCTTTGAAGCGTGCATGTTTTTTAGAGCTATTGAACAACAGTATAATATGGCAACGAAAGATGACATCTTGTTGCCATTTGTAGATGATCTTGCTGATCAACTAGATGAACTTATTATCACTTGATGTCCATAGAAGATCTATTAAAGACAAATGATGTTATTCATGATGAAACTACCAGCAATTACCCTATATGGCATATATGTGGCAGTTTGTTATTTTGATGCGTTAATATGGTAGTTTTTTTTATTGTTTTATGCATCAAATAACAAAATGTCGTATGTATGCCACATAATATGATTATCGATAGTCCTCACTATGAATAACATTATTCATATAAAGATGTAATTGATGAGTGAAATAATATTCATATTTAGTTATCTGTTTTTGTTGGTTTTCAAGGTAGTCTATGCAAACATTAACTTATCATGTTTTAGTGTATACAATATCTCATTATTGAACCATAAAAGCAAAAATCCACAATCCTCTTGGACAATATCACCATGTAGTCGAGAGTGAGGTTGATATTAACATTTTGTATCGGTTCAGATTTGATGTCAAGATTATTGACTATTTATCCTGCTTTTTATCTCAATCGTAAATAAATAAACTCTTGTTTGTTACACATTTTTCAAAAATCATTCTTTAGAAAAAAATTACTTCTCACAAAATCAATTATCAAAAAATCTACATCAAACAGGACTTATGTGGAGTGCTGAACTTGATTATTCTTTGTTTTAAAAAAGCTGATCAAGAAAATACTTCAAATCTTGTGAAAATCTAGTTCAGTTTAAACCAACAATAAACACCAATCGAACACCAAGATCACAATGAGGCTCGAACCTTCAACACCACTTCACTTCGGTTGCCACAAACTAACCCACAAAGGATTAAGGTAAATGGTGATATAAATATCACAAAGGAAAGAACAAAAAGGAAGCAATGGTTAAACTCAAATGAACCAAGATGGTTGCCACTTTCTTGTACATATTGCAAACAAACTCAAAAACAAGAAACAGCTATAGGCTAATGAGAGGATATATAGATTAGTTTAGGTCATATGTCAAGTTGTGCCAAAGACATAAAACCAAGATAAAAGATTGAAATGGGACAACAAACCTAATAAATGGACCTCCAACTAACTAAGCACAAATGGGCTAACACAAATAGGTCATCCTCAAGTGAATTGGGCCATGAGCAAATTTAGTTAGTTAAGTCTTCCAATAGCCCAAGTTGCTTTCTGGTCAAGCCAATTACTATGGTATTGATATAATTAATCCAACAACGTTTTTAACATAATTGTTCAAAATTTATTGGATATGAAAACCCAACAAATCTTCACTTTGGTACCAATTGAATTTGCAAACAAACGACACAAAGTTTATATTTGCTAATCAAGGTCACCAAATAAAATTCAAATCACAAATCTTACCTCGTGTCTCGAACCGGAAACACATATAATACCTACTTTATGTACTTATCAAGGGCCTAATGTTAAGAAAATCCAAATGGAAACAAATAATCACAATAATCAATTAAGAATACAAAAAATATGCGATAAAGATATATCATAGGATAGCAGAAAGATATTTTCAAACATGTTCAATATTCGAAAAACATCAAACTGACACTAAGTTAATCAAGCAAAATGGCCAACATATACAACAAATGTATAAATGACTTTACGAAAAGATCTCACCATAATTATCCTACCCATTCCGTGTAGCTCGTATATCTAGAACACATATTTCCTCTTATTGCTAATTATGCTCACTAGATTGGTCGCTCCTCATGCCTAATAGATAAACCAATATAGATCTTAAGACCATGGGATATTCTTTTATACTACGTCACCTCTCTCAAGCTAAGATAATGGGTCTCCAGCTAATAAAGGTTATAGGAACTTTATTCTCACACTTTACACGATCGTAATTCCCACAGATAGAGGATTCCAAACATCACCTGTCACTCTCTAAATTCCCTATACATATCACAAATGTAACCTTAAGCATATATACCCTACATTACCAATAGACACACTAACTACTCATGCTTTCCAACCCACTTTACATAGAAACACATTAAACACAATAATAAAACCACTTTCAAATTCATGCAAATACACACATCAAATATATTGAAAGTGTAACATGGAACAATGCAACCGATTCAAGCAATCACGCATATAAATAGGATTTCACATAGATGCAAAGCAGTAATCATATTTATTAACAATAAACTCTAACAATAAAAAAAAACTATAAACCTCACTCGGGTCATAATTAGACCCAATGACAACATTTGCCTCATCTCTCACCTTTTCTTTCTTTTTATTATTCTTCATAGGATAGTATCTTACCAAGTGTTCAATTTCACTACAGTTATAACAATCTTTTACCTTTCACTCTCAACTTAGACCTATCCCAAATTCTACCTTTCAGCTTTTGTTGCCGAAAAGAAGAGTTACCTTTGCCATTAAAAATACTCAACTCAAAAACGTGTTCAAAAACGTGTTATCATTTTATCATTTTACCAAAAATGCACAAAATATAGTATGCGAACAAGCAATGACCACAAGTAAAGTAGAGGTACAAAAACATCCAGTCAAAGTTTCCTAAGGTCACAGGAATCACTAATAGAAAATAAAATGGCAGCAAAATCTTCAAAATTAAAACACAATATATCAAGTTCACATAGAAAATAATATATTAAATTCACAAATAATTCTAGGCACTAATCAGCAAATAATATATTAGGTCTAGTAGCAGGCAATGGTTATCTCACACAATAACCTCAATCCTAATGTCACCTACACGATGAGCTGCTAGTGTAAAAAGTAAATAGTTATCCCATAAGATAGCTGTAACTACAATAATAAAAAGGAAAGAACAAGATGACAAGGAACCAAATCCACGTCCATAAGGGGAGATGTGAATTTATTATTTTAGGGCCACGATTATTCGCCCTAAAGCTTCCAACAACTATAGCAACACGAGCACGAAAACTTGAATCCTGAATGTCCAAGAGCAAAACCTCCAGAAACAATCTGCCTTCAAACATCGTCACTGATATTCGCTGGACTTGCCCATACGAACCATTGTCATCATCTACGTGTGGGTGTTACACGCCATTGTCTGCCTCACGTGTTGGCTAGCAGGATTGTCCTTGATTTGTTGAGTTCGGTTGTGGTCTTAGTTCATCCAAAAGACCTCTTATTTGGCCAAAAAACATGAAAAATAGATTCGACATTTTGATTTTTCAACCGATTTTTGCAAATTTCAAGACCAATTTCAACTTCCATTTTGTTCAAAATTTACACGCTTCTATGCTCTAATACCATTTATCGTGAAAATACTTCAAATCTTGTGAAAATTGGGCTCTATTTAAACCAACAATAAACATCAATAGAATACCAAAATCACAATGGGGCTCAAACCCACAACACCAGTTCACTTCTTTTGCCACAAACTAACCCACAAAGGATTAAGGTGAATGGTGGTAACAATATCAAAAGAGAGAAAAATGAGAAAGAAATGGTCGAACTCAAATAAACCAAGACGACTACCACTTTCTTGCAACATCACGAGAAAACATGTATGGTCCTTTTGATTGGAAAGATGAAATTTGGATGGAAAGAAAACGAATTCAAGGGAATTGAATTGCCTAAAAATTATTTTCCTGTGAATTGTAAATTATTGCGTTTGATTGGTATAATTTTCCACGTGAAAAATGTTAAAATAAAAGTATTTTTTCGTGTTCGTTTGACTTTATTTTATATGAAAATTATCAATTAAAGGGATAGATTTTACTCGTATTGGGGATGAAATTTGTTTTCATTGCAAAAAAAAAAAAAAGAAAAAAAAATTCAAGAAAATCATCTATCTTTTGATGTTCGTTTGGCTTTATTTTACATAGAAATTGTCAATTAAAGAGAAATATTTTTTTATAATAATTTTTAGAATTTGTTTCCATTACCTCAAAAAAAATAATAATAATAAAAGTTCCTGAAATTCCATTTCCCACCATATAGGTAGGAAAACAAATTCAAAGAAAAGTAAGAAATGGTCACCGTGTGAAGCAAAATGGAATTCCAATTGCTAAGATATAAATGCCTATCAAGCACCAAAAAAAATGAAAAGTGGAAAATATTTTCCATTTTCCATGAAATTGGAAGTGAATCAAACATACCCTTATAGGCAAATGAGAGGATACATAGATGAAAAAAATCATTTATAAGAGACTAAGCATGACCTATTTGAAAATTAATAAACAATGTTATAAACTTCAAAAATCATATATTAGTTAAATTTTATTTATGAAATAATTAAGTAAACATATATGTTATTAAATAATATATTAAAGTCACAATTCTATACTATTTGATCACAAATTATCAAATTAATTGATCACAAATTCTATATTAAATAATATATTAAAGTCACAATTCTATATTATTCGGCCTTCAGCAGCATCGCCTCACTGCCTGCAGCAGTGTTGTCTACCACTCTCACAACCAGATTTCCAAGGCGATGTCGCTACTGCTCCGCTTTGAGCAATAACAGCATTGTCTCGCTGCGTGCAACATGCTTCTGCAGTGAAGCACCATTGTGCACAACGGTATTGCTGTTGCTTGCCGCCGTTGAATGAGGGTGGGTTGTAAAGATGGATGAGGGATGGGTGCAAGCGTAGTGGGGGCAATGGCCCGAGCTGAGCCGGCTGGGCCCTTAACCTCACGAGCTCGGCTCACGCTCATGGCGAGCCGAGCTCATGGGTCAAGCTGAGCTTTGGCTCGTGGGCTTGTCTTTTTTTTTCTTAAAGAAAAAACACAAATAATGTAATGAAAACACTTTTAAAGAAATAAAAATAATTTAATGAAGACACTTTTTATTTTTTTATTTATATCATATTGTATTATTTTTTTATAAAGTATACAATATTTATAGAATGAAGACGAATTATTGTTTGAAATACATTTACAAAAAATATTTTTTTAATTTTCTTTTAAAGTAGATATAATGTAAACCCTCCTCCTTTATTCAAATTTGAGACCGGCTATATCAATTTTAATTAGGCGGAGTTAAAAATTGTACACGAACAACTTGTTGTAACGTATACAATTTTTTTAA